CTTCCTTCTACATGACTCAGCAAGTCCCATTGTTTCCGATTAAGAATTATTTTTACGTGTGTGGGTGTTTTGGGGCTGGAGATATGGCTTAGCGGTTAAGAGCATGGTCTGGTCTTCCAAAGGTCTTGAGTTCAATTCCCAGTGACCACATGGTGGGAGGGGGTGTTTTGCCCATGTGTGTCTGTGCACCATGTGCAGATGCTCACAAAAGCCAGAAGAGGCTGTTAGGGCCTTTGGAACTGGACTTGCAGTTGTGAGCTTTCATGTATGTACTGGGAATGGAACCAGGTTCTCTGGAAGATCAACCAGTGTTCTTAACTGCTGAGCCTTCTCCCATCCCGTTTATTGTTAAAAATAAATAGAACCAGCATCTTCTGTAACTTGCAACCAAGCCTGCTGTGATTTACTTATGGAACAGCTTTAGCATTGCTTATGAAAACCACAGCCCATGCTGTTCCATAGGCTTGTAATGAAAATGGAAGAACAAAGGGATGAAAAATATGAATCTGGGCTTTTCTAACCCAGAAGTTGTTTTGTCATCTTGATGTTGATGGCCAGAGCTACCACAGTCACACATCACTTAGTCTGGGGACACAGTCTAGGGATGTAGGATAATAAGCACCAGTGTACGTATACCAGCTTGAGAAAGGAGAAAAGCTGTGCAATGGGGCAGTACGGTGACTACGGAATATTACCGCTCACAGTGCAATAGGGAGTTCAATGAAGTAACTCCTGCCGTGTATGACATTAGCCTGATACTCGAGGTCTTCTTAACTCCTCCTCTACATACTAGAACAGATCAAGGATGGTCTTTTGGGTCTGGAAAGATAACTCAGTGGTTAAGACTGCATGTTGCTCTTCCAGAGGATTGGGGTTCAGTTCCCACCACCCACATGGTGGCTTATAACCATCTCTAGCTCTAGCTCCAGGGGATCCTTTTCTGGCCTCTGCACACACCAGACACACATGTGGCGTAGAGACATATACACAGGCGAGCACTCATACAAATACGATTTAAGTTATTTTTTAAAGAGAGTAGTAGTCTTTCTTTCCTTTCTTTCTTTCTTTCTTTCTTTCTTTCTTTCTTTCTTTCTTTCTTCTCCCATCTTCCCTCTTCCCTCCCTTCTTTCTAAAGTTATTTTTTACCTGTATTTGTGTGCTTATGTATGTATATAGGCGTGTGTTCTCTCCTTTCACCATGTGAGTCCTGGGACTGAACTCAGGTCATCGGCCTCAGGAACAAGTGCTCTTAACCACTGAACAATCTTATTGACCACTTTTTTTAAAAAAATGTTTTTAGGAAGTATCTGGTAGGTTGTTTTTGTTTGTTTTACCTCAAATTCTGTAATTATAGGTATGTGTTACCATATATTAGACTACGATGTAAGCACACACACACACACACACACCTCTGTTGGAGGAGACTGCTTGTTCGTCTTGGCCACCCAGAACCAAAGTACTTACACAGAAATTGTATTAATTAAACCACTGCTTGGCCCATTAGCTCTAGTTTCTTATTGGCTAACTCTTACATCTTTTTTTTTTAATATTTATTTATTTATTATGTATACAATATTCTGTCTGTGTGTATGCCTGCTGGCCAGAAGAGGGCACTAGACCCCATTACAGATGGTTGTGAGCCACCATGTGGTTGCTGGGAATTGAACTCAGGACCTTTGGTAGAGCAGGCAATGCTCTTAACCTCTGAGCCATCTCTCCAGCCCCCTCTTACATCTTAATATAACCCATTTCTATTAATCTGTGTATTGCCACATGGCTATGGCTTACCAGCTAAAGTTCTGTCTGTCTCCAGCAGGGCTACATGTCTTTTCTCTGACTCTGCCTCCTTTCTCCCAGCATTCAGTTTAGTTTTCCACACCTAGGTCTGTTCCCCTATAGCTCTGCTATAAGTCCAAAGCAGTTCCTTTATTAACTGGTGGTATTCCAAACAAACAGAGGGGAATCCCACATCATACCTCCCCAGATCTTATGTATATTTAAAAAAAATCTCTTTCCTTCATATGGAGGCTTTTGTGGGGAGGGGAGGGATCGATCCAGGGTTTCTCTGTGTAATAGGCTGTTTTAGAACATTTTGCAGACCACACTGGCCTCGAACTCAATAGAGATCCATCTGCCTCTGCCTCCTGAATCCTGGGATAAAGGGGTGTCATCACAGCACACTGAGGCTTTTTAAGGTGTTATTCATGAGAGGATCAGCTCAGGACACCGAAGGCCAACTTCTCAGCACAAAGGAGATTTATTTACCCCAGAGAGACAAATGGCAGGGAATAAGACACAAAGACAGAAGATAGGGGAGAAGGGAGAAGGGAAAGGGAATAAGGAAGAGGGCGCAGGGATTTTTGTGTATGGAGTGGGGGGAGGATTGCCTCTGAATAGAGAGGATGTGACCCATAGGTAAATGGTGGTTTATAAAGGTACATGGGGAAGCCCATGTTAGCATGAGGTGTTCAGTTTTAATTGGGCATGTTGATTAGGTAAGTAGAAAAGACTTTTGGTTTCTGAACTTCAATACTTTGATAGTGGACTTTGGTAGTAGCCTTAGGAAGAGAAAGTGTACAAATAAGGGAATAGGCCTTGGTGGCTAACTTTAGGAATTTAATCTAGCGAGGCAGAGGAAATGAAGGAGAACAAGTCCTCCCAGAGCCATGTTTGCCATGCTTGGGCTGACTAGAGGCCCTTCAGTTTGTACATGTGGTATTCACTTCCTGCTTAGCATCAGTCCGACAACCCATTACAGTGTCATCATAAAGTAACATGAGCTAAACTGCGATCAGTCCCGTCATCTATTATTGCATGTGCATGATAGCAGCACCTGCCCCGCAGGAATGAGGAGCAGGTGGACCAGGGAGTGTCTCTAAGGCACTCAGAACAGTAGCTGGCATTTACAAAGCACTCTCGTGTCTTAGTTAGGGGTTACTGTTGCTGTAGTGAAACACCACGACCAAAAGCAACTCACAGTTCCAGGTAACAGTTCACCATAAAAAGCAGCGAGGGCGGGGACTCAAGCAGGACAGGAACCTGGAGGCAGGAGCTGATGCAGAGGCCATAGTGGAGTGCTACTTACTTGCTCATCATGGCTTGCTCAACCTGCTTTCTTATACATCCAGAACCACTGGTGTTGGGGACTGCGGACCACCAAACCCTGAATTTCCTGTAAACAACTTGTTTTCCTCTGCTCTGAGCAGCCTACAGCTGCTCTAAGCATGAAACCCTGATGGCAGGGGAGTGATTTCTGGTGGCCCTGAAGCTGAAAGATCCCGAGAGCTGGGACATGGCCAGAGCACTATATAAGCTGCCCCTGAACACAATAAAGGGGGCATTCAAGCACTATATAAGCTGCCCCTGAACACAATAAAGGGGGCATTCTTGGGGAATTCAAGGATGACCCAAGTCTCTGTCTCTGTTTGTGTGTGTCAATCTCCAGGCCCCTTGCCTGGCTTGCAAGTGGTCCCTAGTGCAAGCAGTAAGCTACAGGCATAGTACCATAGTACATGTAGTACAGGTGCTACAGGACCGTAGTACATGTAGTAGTACGGACACGTACACACCAGCCCAAGGATGGTACCACCCACAGTAGACTGGGCTTCCCCCTTCAATCGTTAATTAAGAAATGCTCTACAGTCCGATCTTATGGAGGCATTTTCTCAATTTAGGTCCCTTCCTTTAAGATAACTCTGGTTTGTGTCAAATTGACCTAAAACTAGCCAGCACAGATTACACAGCTTCAAGAGTATGACAAGAGACAGACACAACATCACACTTTTCTCACAAGGAAACAACCTACATGTCTGGTGGAAAGTGAATTTTCAGGAGAGTTCTAGTAACTGACCTAATAGGTTGTAAACTCCATTCAGGCATGTCTCCTGTGACGTATTCCTAGCACAGATCTGATGTGTGGAAAATAGTCTGTCTTGTACATTCATTACATTAGTGTGTACTGTGTATATTAGATGTGTGTTTGTAGATATACCAAGTATAAACATTCTATATGTATTTAGTCAGTGGGCATTTGACAGCCAATAGTGCTAAAATTACTCTATTCCCTCTTTGGCTCAAGAGCTTAACAAAATGGACCAAGGAATATAGTTCAATTGAAGAATGCTTAACTAGCAGTATTGATATCCAAAACCACATACAGGCATGGTGCTGGCCCGTATTTCTAGTATTTTTATTTATTTATTTATTTATTTAGAAAAAGCAAATAAACTAATCAAACCAAGAGCTTGATACATTCACAGGCTCGGTATATTTCCACAGTTCTTTTCAACATATATTTCTGTCCCATTCTCTCAACTACCTACAAATAACACACCCAGCCAGAGGCTTGTGCCTCAAGAACAGACAAAAGAGCTTGCTTGCTCAGTAACGTTATTTTCTTTTTAGTATGCGTCCTCTGTGCCGCCCAGGTTGGTCTCCGGGCTCAAGCGACCATCCCATGTCCTCACGAATTGTTGGGGCCACTGGCGCACCAACAGCCCAAATCAGTGAGCTTTTTCCCCTAATTGTTTGCTGTTGTTTCTCAAAGCCCAGACTAATCTTAACTCTAGATGATTCTGCCTCAGCCTCCCCAGTGCTAACATCATAAGCGTGCACCATCACAACTGGAAGATTTACTTTAATAGTTTCTTAAAAACAAGTAGGCGCCGGTAGTGGCTCATCTTTAATCCTAATCCCAGCACTCGGGAGGCAGAGGCAGACGGGTCTGAGTTTGTGGCCATCTTGTCTACAGAGCAAGTTTCTGGACAGCCAGGGCTTCACAACCAAAACACAACTTAAAAATCAAGTGCATGTTGTTAAATTTGCCTAATAAAGACGGGTCGAGCTTAATAACAGGAAAGAAAAGGTAAGAACAGACTCCAGGTCTCCAAGGAGCGCGAAGAGAAAGAGGCGGCGCATGAGACTGCCGTCACCGAGAGGGCGGTGCAGCTTTATTGCGCACGCTCGCGCCCCGCCCCCCCCCGGCCCTCACAGAGCGCATGCGCGTACAGGGCTCGCTAGTCTGACTGGCTATTGCCAAATGGCTTTGCTGGCGGCAAAGTTGAGCCTGAGGAGCTGGCGGGGCGATGTGTAGCGACTTTCTCAAAGCCGAATCCGGGACGGAGGTGAAAACCGCGGGGCGGTAGGAGGGCCGCGCAACACTAGGGGAGGTCACCCGGCGTCCAGGGCCACCGTGGGGATGCGGCGACACTCTCCATGGCGCGCTGTGCTGCCGAGCTGGGGAAAGGGCGGGCCGCTAGCTGAGCATCTGAAGACTTTTCTGGGATAGGTGATGTTTAGGTATCTTGTTTCACCTCTCTAATCTGCCTGTGGCATCGGACCCTCGCTATCCCAGAATACATTTGTGGTCTGTCTCTCTAGAGCCTCGCAAGCCATTTCATTCAGGAATAGAACTATTAACTGTGGGTGTTAATGACTCAAGTACTGTGTAGCTAAGAGTTAGGAGTAAGAAACAATAAAAAGTGGACCAGCGTGGTGGCGCTCACCTTTAATCCCAGCACTAGAGAAGCAGAGGCAGGCAGATTTCCCTGAGTTCGAAGGTAACCTGGTTTATATAGATAGTTCCAGGCAAGCTACGGGGCTAGTGAGACTCTCTCAAATAAACAATAATAATCGAAGCTGTGTTAAAAGGTAAAGTAGATGGTAAAAGCATGCCAACCAAAAGCGGGTCTGTAAGACAAATTATAGGAGGAGATACTTAGATGTTTTCAGACAGGATCTACATAGCTCATTCTTGGCCTTGAACTTGCTGTGCAACTGAGGAGAATATTAAACTTCTTTTGTTTATTTATATAAATTATGTATATGTGTGTATGTCTGTCGGTTGGTATGTGCAGATGCATTGGAAGACAGAAAAAGGTGTGAGATCACTTGAGTCACCTGAACCAAACTCATGCTCTCTGTAAGAGCAGTACCTAATCTTAACTTCGGAGCCATCTCTCCAACTCCTAACCTTCAACTTCTGATCCTCCTGCCTCCCAAATGCTGGGATTTCCGAGAGTATACTGGGTTATGCCCTGCCAGGGATGGAACCCAGGAATTCATGAATACTAGGCAATGGCTCTACCACCAGAGCTACAATTTTCAACCCCTGAACTGGCGTTTTAAGGACCATCTGAAGTAGTTTGCTGAGAAGGAGGAGGAGGAGGTGACAGTCTAAGCAGAGGGAGTAGCTCAGGCATGGTCTGAATCTACCAAGGGCAACATTTAGGGCTGGGGTTCTCAACCTGTGGGTTGTGACCCCTTTGGCAAAACTCTTATCTCCAAAATCAAAGGTATTTACATTACAATTCATAATAGTAGAAAAATTATAGTTATGAAGTAACTATAATTAAATTAAATAATTTTAAGGCTGGGGATCACCACAACATGAGGAGCTGTCTTAAAGGGTTGCAGCATTAGGAAGGCTGAGAACCACTGCTTTAGGAAACAGCCAGTGTCTCTATAGAGTTGGAACACAGAGAATGTTGGGAAGCGAGCTCTAAGAGATAGTGAAGGATGTGTCTCCCAGGGTAAGGAGGGGTGCACTCACGGACACAGGAAAGGACACCAACAAAGACACTGTTTCCCGCTTCCCTCCCAGTTCCCCCTCCAGGCATTTCATAGCCCTGCATAGTAAACACTATAAATATTGATAACAATTGCTGATTTTCTTTTCTTTTTCTTTTTTTTTTTAAATATTTATTTATTATACAATATTCTGTCTGTATGTATGCCTGCAGGCCAGAAGAGGGCACCAGACCCCATTACAGATGGTTGTGAGCCACCATGTGGTTGCTAGGAATTGAACTCAGGACCTTTGGAAGAGCAGGCAATGCTCTTAACCTCTGAGCCATCTCTCCAGCCCCTGCTGGTTTTCATAGGGGAAAAAAAAGCTACAAGATAGCCCCCCTTTGCCAGAGACAAATATCAAGAAAGACAAATAGCATTTACTTAAGTATAATTAGTTTTGTGTAATCACAGACATAAACTTTAAGTTTTTTATTTTATTAATTTGAATGCTTTGTCTCATGTTTATGAGTATACCACATCTGTGCCTGGGCCCACGGAGCTCAGAAGGATCATCAGATTCCCTGGAAATAAGTTACAGGCAGTTGTGAATTGCCATTTGGATAGTAATTGAACCTGGGCCTTTTGCAAAAGCAACAAGTACTCCTTTTTTAAAAAATAGATTTATTATTTATTTTACATCCTGTTTTCCCTACCTTTCTTCCCATTGTAGGGAGCTACTCCTCCCCTCCCCCACCAATCCACTCCTCCTCTGTTTCTGTTCAGAAAGTTGATTCTGTGGGGTTTCTTGTGATGTCTTTGACCCCCCCTGGCTTGTGCAGTCCTCCAGCTTGGCCTAATGCTCCAACAGTTACTGGATGAAGGGCTCTCTGATGACAATTAGGGTAGTCACCAATCTGATTACAGAAGATGACCAATTCAGGCTACGTATCCAACTGTTGCTAGGAGTCTTAGCTGGGATCATAAAATGGCCAGTTCAGGGTATGTATCCACTGTTGCTAACAGTCTTAGCTGGGGTCATCCTTGTAGATTCCTGGAAGTTTTCCTGGCACCAGGGGTCTCCCCCCCCCCCCATCCTCCAGCCACTCCCTCAACCCAATCCCTCCTGTTTCCATCCCCTCCCACCCCCAGTCCACCATGAGATCTCTCCTATTTCTGCTTCCTGGGGAGATCATGCGTCCACCCTTGTGCCCTCCTATTTACCTAGCCTCTCTGGGTCTGTGGATTATAGCATGGTTATCCTTATTTTACAGCTAATATCCACTTATAAGTGAGTACATACCTTGCTTGTTTTTCTGATCTGGGTTAACTCACTAAAGATGATTTTTTTTTTTTACTTCAATCCAGTTGCCTTCAAATCTCATGATGTCATTTTTTTTTTTAAACCACTGAGTAGTACTCCATTGTGTAAATGTACCACATTTTCTTTATCCATTCATCAGTGGAGGAACATCTAAGTTGTTTTCAGGTTTTGGCTGTTACAAATAAAGCTGTATGAACATAGTTGAGCAAGTGTCCTTGTGGTATGATTTAGCATCCTTTGGGTATAGGCCCAAGAATAGTATCTCTGGGTCTTGAAGTAGATTGATTTCCAATTTTCTGAGAAACTACCATACTGATTTCCAAAGTTTGCACTTCCACCAGCAGTGGTTGAATGTTCCCCTTGTTCCACATCCTCTCCAGCGTAAACTGTCATTTGTGTTTTAGATCTTAGCCATTCTGAGAGGTACAAGAATCTCAGCATCATTTTGATTTGTGTTTCCCTGATGGCTAAGGATGTTGAACATGTCTTTTAAGTGTTTCTCTGTTTTTGAAGATTTGAGATTCTTTTTAAGAATTTTCTGTTTAGATCTGTACCCCATTTTAAAATTTGATTATTTGGTTCTTTGATGTCTAGACCTGATGTCTTGAGTTTTTTATGTATTTTGGAAATCAGCCCTCTATTGGATGTGAGGATGATGAAGATCTTTTCCCATTATGTATGCTGCCATTTTGTCCTATTGACAGTGTCCTTTGCCTTACAGAAGCTTTTCAATTTCATGAGGTCCCATTTATTAATTATCAGTTTTAGTATCTGTGCTAGTGTTCTAGTAAAGAAGTTGTCTCCTGAAAAGGGATTGGGGAATGGGAGGAGAAGAGGGAAGGGGAACTGGAATTGGTATGTTTTAAAAAAAAAAAATGTCTCCTGTGCCAGTGTGATCAAGGCTATTATTTCCCACTTTTCTCTCAGGTTCAGTGTAACTGGATTTATGTTGAGGTCTTTGATGCACTTGGACTTGAGTTTGTACGGGATGATGGATATGGACCTATGTGCGGTCTTCTCCGTGTCTGCATCCAACTATGCCAGCACCATTTGTTGTTCTTATTATTATAGCTCTGTAGTAGAGCTTGAAGTCAGGGATGGTGAAGCTTCAAGAAGTTTTTTTGTTGTACAAGATTGTTGTAGCTATTCTGGGTTTTGTTGTTGTTTTCATATGAAGTTGAGTATTGTTCTTTCGAGGTCTGTAAAAAGTTGTGTTGGAATTTTGATGGAGATCACATTGACACTGAAATTGCTATTTTTCCTGTGTTCATTCTGCCAATCTATGAGCGTGGGGGATCCTTTCATCTTCTGATATCCGCAGTTTCTTTCTAAAAAGACTTGAAGTTCTTGTCATGCAGGCCTTTCATTTGCTTGGTTAGAGTTACCCCAAGATATGTTATATTCTTTGTGGCTATTGTAAAGGGTGTTGTTTCTCTGATTTATTTTCTCGACCTGTTTATTGTTTATATATAGGAGGGCTACTGATTTTTTTTTTTAAGTTAAGCTTGTATCCAGCCACTTCGCTAAAAGTGTTTATCAGCGACAGGAGTTTCCTGGTGCATTTTGGGGGGGCTGCTTATGTATACTCTCATGTCATCAGCTAATAGCAATACTTTGACTTCTTCCTTTCCAGTTTGTATCCTCTTGATCTCCCCTTGTTGTCCTATTGCTCTAGCTAGAACTTCAACTTGAATAGATATGGAAAGACTGAGCAGACTTTTCTTGTTTCTGATTTTAGTGGAATTGCTTTGTCTTTACAATTATTTGATGTTGGATGTCAGCTTGTTGTATATTGCTTTTATTATGTTTAGGTATATTCATTGTATCCCTGATCTCTCCAAGACTTTTATCATGAAGTAGTGTTGGAATTTTGTCAAAGGCTTTTTTCAGCATCTAATGAGATGCTGGTTTTTTTCGTTGAGTTTACAAGTTCTCTTAACCATTGAGTTATTGCTCCAGCCCCTGAAATACACTTTTTTGTTTGTTTGTTTTTGTTTTGTTTTTATGGAGACAGGGTTTCTCTGTGTTACCTTGGCTGTCTTGAAACTCACTCTGTAGACCAGGCTATCCACTAATTCAGAAATCCACTTGTCTCTGCCTTCTGAGTGCTGGGATCAAAGCCATGCACCACCACCACCTGCTAAAATACACTTTTTTAAAACAAAGAGGAAAGGATTCTACCAGGCTGCTCCTATGGCCATTTCTTTTTGCACTTCTTTTGTCGTTGTTGTTTTGAGTCAGGGTCTCATGTAGTCCAGGCTGACTGTGAACTGTGTAGCTAAAATATCTTTG